TGAAGGAGGACAATGGCCCAACCTCCTTTGCCTTTTGGAGAGCATGCTTCTGGTTGAACGCTGCCTCTGCTTCCTCTTCATCCTGATCAGAAGAGGAAAGGCTGACTGAGCAACTGTGCCATGTGTGAGTTTAAATAATTCACAGAATCAAAGTGACAAAAGGAGGAAAGAACACGCTGACCAAGATAACAGCGTAGAGCGATTACTAAAACTTCTTAGCATTAAGTAGCAAACAGGTACAAGATCTTTTTGTTATATCTTTTTATTACCTTTGTAAGTTCTTGTGCATTGGCAAGGTTATCCACAGCAATGGCCAAGAATACATTCAGAAGAGTGTCTGGTCACAGCTGAGTTAAGGACGTGCAACTCCTTAGTAATAGAGGTGGAAGGTAACTAAGTATTGTGCTTAAGTACAATTTTCTTTTTCTGCTACTTCATACTTTGATTCCATTAAATTTCAGATGCAAATATTGTACTTTTTACTCCACTGCATTTATTTGATGACTTTTGTTACTAGTTACTTTTCAGATACGGAGTGCAATAGTGGGCAATGTCATCAAAATATTGTCCACCGTTATTTACACTGATATGTGGCATGGAATACGTTCTTCTCCTAGAATGTGACAGTCTGTTGTCTGTTGTTATTGTTTGTTACTACTACTGCAAATCAAATTTCCCTTATGTGGGATAAAAAAGACTGATTGGCTGAGTAAAATAAAATACACTAAAATAATCATGTAAAACTTCATTGGTCCCTGGTAGGAAACTCACAAGCTTCTCAGCAGTAATTCACATTTGAATCATATAGAGCAGTTCAAATTTACTCCACTGAACTAGCTGCAATATTATTATGTGATGTACCTGTGCACAATAATGCATTAATAATCATAATCTAATAATATGATATACATTCTGTTTAATGAGTGTTTTTGCTTTTGGTATTTTATGTATATATATCAGACTTTTTCTTCCCCTATTTCCTGCATCAAAAACCAATCAAAATGCATTAATGTTAAGAATCTTAAAGTGAAAACTGCAAACTAAAGGCTAACAAATAATTGGTACTAAATAATTACAAATTAGAGTACCTTTATGTAAATAATAGTATTAGTTAATCTAGATAGCAGTGCAAATAATAAGTAGTACTGTGTGTATATCATATTTTAGAATAAAACCTTTCATATTTTCTTGTAGGACAAGTAATGAAGGATACAGTTTCCAAAGAGAGTGAGCACTATAAAGTAGATGGAGGACCACATGCCATACTTCACTCCTCCTTGAGAGCGAATACCGTTGTACATCACTTCGTTCCAGTCCTCCCCAGTAAGGATCTGAGAAAACCCACCCACACCACACAAAGTATTTATGAGCATCACTGTTGAGCTTAGCTATAAACTCCACATTTCACTCGAAATTTGCTGTAATAAAATTGTATGAGGGCCGGGTGAAAAGTAAAAAGCTATAAATTATTTTTTGAGTTCATTTCCAGACCTGAAAGACAGTCATGATGGCTGCGGGAAAGGTGTCAAAGTTTGTCGGAGTGTAGTCTTCAAAGATGAACCTGTAAAAAAAGATGTGATACATAGTGCAGGGTCTTTAAAAAGCAGAGCTGGATGTTGTATTTATTTTATTTTTTGCATGAGAGACATATCAGTCCTCCTCCTCTCTGACTGGCTGATGAAGTGGGAGTTTATTTCCCTGGGTGCTCGGTATTCTAGAGGCCATCTTAGTCAGCCTATACTGAAATGACAGCGTGTGGGAAATGGCCTTCGGGCTCATGGATAAACCAAGCAAACAATAGCTGTGTGTGTGTATGTGTGTGTGAGAGAGAGAGAGACATAGGCACAACAATCTTAAATCTCTACCAATCTCACAAATTCTCTTGGTATAATGAAACAACTGTGAGCAGGTCAGTGGACAAACGTCTTCTCAACTGTGTGTGCTCAGCGGTGAAGAATCTATTAAACCATAACATCTACTTTGGCTTTGTTTTCTTGTTTCTGACTAGAATCAAGGGAAATGTCTACCAGTGTGAAAAATAGTCTGTTTTCTGCCAGACTGATTAGATTTGTCCCTCCTATTTTTCTTTCTTCATTCTAGTTCTTTATGGACTCATACGCCGTGTTGCACAAATCTACTATACAAGCAATAACAATTTTCTCAGAGGACTGTACGTGACTGCTACCTGCCACCGAAGAGCTGCATGCCGAGGAGTGCGAAGACAACGATGAAGAGGAAGAGAAGAAAAATAAGGGAGATGATGGACTTCATGGAGTTCATCAGAGACACAACCAGGTTTCTCAGAGACGCCCAGTACCTTGTCAGTCACAAAATACCATGTTAGTGGAAAAGAATTCTGTTATTGTAACATTTAGGGTTCATTTATGACATACAATATTCTTTGAACCGTGACAAAAAGTGTAAAAGCATTTGACTTTGTTGCATTTTACAATTTTTTGATAGAAATATGAATGTCACAGCTATATATTTATATGCTAAGATTCCTGTCAGTTGCTTTTTTGCTTGTTTAATCTTGATTCGTCTTGTTCTGGTGCAGTTGGCTGTAAAGATTTCAGACTCAATCGATCTCCCACACGGCTGAGAATCTTTTATAAATTTAAAATATTAACATGTCACAACTTTACATAGACAACACTTACTTCTCTGTCAATAGTTTTCTGTCAACAGTGAAATCTTCCTTGTACACATTCCAACAGATGGCAAAGAGTGAGGAAAGCACTAACTTGGTGATCTTGAAGATTCTCAGCAGACGGAGTGCACGTAGGACACTGATGCCAAAGGATGTGCCAGGCCTGAAGAAACCCCACAGCACTTCAAAGATGCTGCCAACGATTACCTAAAGGCATAAGGAATTACATCTTTAATTAAAGCTCACAGTAACAAACGTGCACGTATGCCAACAGCTTTACCTAGGTGACAGAGAGGAGAGAGAGTGTAACTGAGATGATGCAACAGACAGATGGAGGAAGGGAGGGCTGACGGTGCATAAATAAAAACACAAGCAGTTGAATTTTGGGAAAATCAAATGTGTCGAGAGGGAGACAGGGTACTGACACTGCAGTCAAAGCAGTTAAAGGAAGAGTGGAAGTAGAGGCGAGGCCCCAAGCTATACATCTTCAGGAACATCTCAGTCAGGAACAGAGCAAGGAACAGGAACTCTGCATAGTCTGGAAAGAAACAAACCAGATATTCACTTTTGGATGATTGCATGTGAAAAGAAGGTGTAGTTCAAGCTGCTACTTTAATGAGATGTGACTCACAGAGGAAGGTGGACAGCCAGAGGGGCTGATTGTGGTGAACAATGGCCACACACAGTGTATTGAGAGCCACTAGGCCAAGCACCGTCCAGTAGAAAGTATGTGTTTTCACCACGCGGCGGATGGAGATACGTAGAAGACGCTCCTTCCGGCGAAAATAGGCTGTAGGACCTCGCTTGGCACTCCTAATACTTGCTCTGGCCCCGGGGACACCTTGAGGGAAAAACCGTAGCTTGACACTTTGTACTTTGCTCTCAACGGTGTGATATTTACAACAGTATGAAATGTGCATTGTCAAGACTTTAGCAGTGCTCACTGTGCCCTACAGGAGATTGCATTACATTTAATGTGCCCATATTTAGGAAACTGTCTAGACTTCCGCTCACCCACAGAGGAGATGTCACCATATTGTTCCTCCCCTGGTTGCCCTCGATGCACCACATCCATACCTCTCCTCTTGATGGTGGTGGCTCTCTTCAACACTGTGGACAAAGCATGATGAACATAAAAAAGTACCACAACAAGCCATTTAAACTGCATAACTAGTGTGTTCTTTGAACACACTGGGAGGGCAGGGACACAAGGCTGAGTTCTGGCCAACATAACTGAACCCTACTGTTCAAGTGCTTAGCATTTTTTTCCTTGGTCTCATCATGGTGAATCACTGAATAGATTTTTGGTCATTTTAGCCTTTATTCAATAGCACAACAGAGACGCACAGGAAAGCAGGGTGAGAGCGAGAGAGAGAATGGGGGGGGGGCAACAAAGGCCCTCAGTCGGACACAAACCATGGATGTCACACACAACTTGTATCTACAGTATGTGAATATACATGTACGAGTGCCCACCAAAACTATGTGATCTCACTGAATAGATTTTTGACTTTTGGCCGGTTGCATGTTAATGTGGCTCAAAAAGCTGCCTTGTGTGCAACCTCCCTTATAATTCAAAGATATCCGTTGGTAGATGCAGGCAAAATGCAAATCTGGAATTTGATAATGCAATAACAAATGAAAATGAAGCAAATGATGAGAAGAAATCACAACAAGGACCTTCTGCATGACAAAATAATGCCTGTGAAGTTTTATAGCTGAAAGGAGTAGCTGTGCTCATTAATGCTGCAGTTTAATGGGAACAAAAATGATGATTTTAATGTCAGCGTAATGATCCAAACAACTGACTGCAAACCTCCTATTTGCTTTTTATGATCTCCATCATAGCAAACCATGCTCCAAGGCGACTTGACGGTCCATGCATTTTTTATAACTTAGTTGTGCCGAATGCTGCCATCCACTATTAGGGGCCACGTCGTGCAGAGCACACATGCCGAGGTGAGTGTCATGAGTGTGTTTTGACATTTTCCCTGAGGACTGTGTTTATGGTTACCTTCATCTTATCCCACTCACACCTTCCCATGATCATGTGAATTCTGAATCTACTTGTGCTCAGTATTTGCTTGAGGGGCTTTTTATTATGCCACTGATCAAACACACAAACAGAGATACACAAAAATACTGCTGCCATTTCACACACACACACACACACACACACACACACACACACACACACACACACACACACACACACAGGAGTGTTTGCTAAAAACAGGAAGGCACACTCATACTCAAACACAATAATGTCTTTCTAAAGCTTTGTTGATACTCATTGACATAATGCTTTCCTTAGCCCCTTGCCCTAACACCTATCCTTCACAACTAAATGCCAAACCTCAGCCTTTCCTAGATCCTAACCTAAACCTAATTCTAACCTTAATCCTAAAACCAAATTTTTGAAAGTGTGAGGATCGGCAATAATTTGCTGTATCATACATTTGTCCACACACGGATATAAAGACATGTACACACACACACACACACACACACACACACACACACACACACATCAAGCACATGCACGCTGCAGCCTTTTCAGATCAGTGGTCGCTAAGGCAACCACACTGCGCCCTCTTTCTTTTTAATCAAGTCAATATCAAAGCTTCTGCATTTATTTCCCTCACAACAGCTGGGGCCACTTTCTGTTTTACTATACATTCACATCAGTTGTCAAAGTGCCTTTGTAATTTGAGAGACAGAAACATACTGAACAGGAAACGTACTCGAACAAAGATTTGTTTAGCTTTTTCTGTTTTTGTACGTGTGCATTTGAGTGGCAGTGTGTGTGGTGAAGTAGGTGAGGAAGCGAGAGCAGAAGAGAAGATGATTCTCACCATAGCCACCACCTGTACTCCACTCTGGGAGGCTCCTGAGTGCTGCCAATCAATCAACATTTAATAAAAGCCCTGCTGGTTTAGCAAGGAGGAAAGGTCAAAGTAGAGTTGAGAGGGTCAGTGAAGGCGCTCGGCTGCCTGTGGCGCACTATGTCTACTGGCAGGTGTAGTGCTAGCAGCGCCAATGCCCTCTGTGTGGCATTGAGAGCTGAGAGGTGTGTACGATCTGTACAAGTGCACCACAGCAGCAACAAAATCTGGGCAGCTCACATCCTGAGCTATGTTTTACTGAATATATTGCAACAATATTGTTGCCCACTTTTACAGATTAAATGTGTCCTGACACCCACTGCCGGGGCTCACAACATAAATGTTGTCGATACTGGTTTTCTATAGGAATGCTCATCTGACTTTTTGGCATATTTCACTATGTATACATTAATACTTACATGCTGATCTTAAGCAGGTACTGCATAATGTACCACGATCGCCACCTTAGTTTAGCATGTTAACGTTTGTTAGCTGCTGATGATAACGTCATTAGTTTTGCAGGTATTTGGTCACAAACCAACTTGTTATTGTATAATTCTGACCTGATGATAGCACTAAATGAAACGTCAGTGGATCCCCAAAGCTGCATAGTGATGCTTTGAGATACTTTTGAAGTAAAGGTTAACTCAGCATGCTATTATCACAGTGACAATGCTAACATTCTAATGTTCGCCATGTTCATCATATTAATTTTGTTTGTTAGCAACACTAGCTTCTGACCTCTAACCACAAAGTGTAACTGAGGCTGATGGGAATGTCATTAGTTTGGTCATAAACTGAACTATTGAACAAATTGGTGGTGTTCAGTGAAAATTCGGAGGATTTCCAAAGTCATTAAGGCACGTCACCTGGGAACCATGAAAGTCTGTACAAATTTTAATGGAAATGAACGGGATGGTTTTTGAGATATTTCAGTTTGGACCAAATGACACTGCCATCCCACCAGCATGCCTCAAAATGATCAACCACGCTAAAATGTAAATCAGCTTCAGTGGAAAGAGTTTTTACAGTATTCTTATATTTGTATGTTTAAAAATGTGTCAACCCTAAAAGCACAGACAAAAATGTGTCACATATTAATAATAGCAAATGCCATTAATAGTCCATCTGCCAGCTTAAAATTAAGAAAGAATGTAAAGCAATGTGAGGGTAGTGGAAAGACAAGAAGTACTGGGCAATAACACCAGGAAAAACAAAATTCTCTTACCGTCCAGGGCAGAAGGTCCTGGATTCTTGTTCTCCTCAGCAAGCATCACCTCCTCTGGAAGGCAAAAAGCCAAAGTATGATCAGGCCCAGATGACAGGAGATATGCTGGTACCTCACTTGTGGCACAACAAACAGCTGGTAGACTACAGGGTGTATCAGATAGTCCTACGCTCCACACTTGACAGGATTAGTCTTGAAACCTAGGTGAAACATTGATTTTCCTTCTGTCATCAAGAGAAAAATCTAACTGGGACTAAAGCCACCTGCTCTGTCGATCCAGGCACGGTAACCGTTGAGCTCCCTTTCAATTTGTTGTTGACGTCTCAGTTTCATGAACGCCCTGCGGTTTTCCACCCTCTCTCTCTCCTTGGCAAATTCGCTGTAAAAACAAACCACATAATTATTATTTTTTTATTTATTTACTGTTTGATGTTACGGGGGTGTAGAATCAGGGGGACAAACATAAGAAAGAAGAGAGGAATGGAGAGGAGGTCAGAGAAGGCCTCTTCTCTTTCATTCTGGAGATAGTTACAATAGATCCCCAATTAACCTTTCTGTAAACCTAATTAACTTATGTAAACTTTGACACCAAGTACTTTCAGTAGTTAGTGTGCCAGTCACTCTGCCAATCGGTGGCAAAGGGAGTCTCAGTTTTTCATTTATTTTAAAGCCTAGCTTACCAAATCCTAAACCAACAGGACTGTATACTGCAGTCCTTTTACAGGACACCTTGAAAGGAAAAGTAAAACTGTTCCCTACATTCGCCTCAAAAGGTTTATCTGTTACTGGTCCTCAGAAAACACAAGTTTATGAACTAGTTTAATTTAAAATCCACTGAGAATTAGACAAATAGGCACAAAAAACAGTTAAGACAAACCACAAAAAAGCAGGCACCACACAGACAATGAAAAGGTAATTTAACATAAAGTGCTGTGGGTGTAGATGTAATGTTAACATTACTTTGAGTTGAATATCTTTTGTGTTGCTATCAAAAGAAATAAGTAACTTTCAGGATTTGTCAGCATCAAGCATCAAACATCTGTATTTCTTAAACATCTAGATGTTTAAGAAATACAATTGTATTGATGTCATACAATGACAACCAAATATGAGTGAATCCAACTTTTCAATCATTCACTGCTGTGCAGCGGAACACAGACAGTTTTTGTGTGAATTATGTATTTAACAGTGACGTCTGACCACCCTAACACAAATAGTTGGTAAACCAGTGATATACTGTGCTGTAAGTCACCCAAATGCATCATTAAACAACCACCAAGCACTGAACACTAGCAAATTCATCAAGAAGAAGGCTGCTCATCTTAGACCCCAATAGCTAGGCCCTTAACTGTGGCAATCACCACGTGTCAGACACCTCGCCTTCACAGAAGTTTGTATTATTTCATAATTGGTTGATGACAACAGGGCATGCATCATAAAAAGCTAGAGAAAACCAAAGCTTTGACCATCTATGAGTGGGAAAAATCTCATAAATGACCATAACTTTTACAAGAGGCTGAAATTTGAATGAATTTAAAATGAACTTGGATTGAAACCTACCCAGAGAGGACACCTAGCACCAAGTTCAGCACAAAAAAAGAGCCGATGATGATGAGAGGGATGAAGTAGAGCCAGTTCCAGCTGGGACCCAAGGCATCATCAGTCTGAAACATCAAAATAAATAAAAAAAAAGATTGAATCTGAAATCAGAAAGAAGCCTTGACTCATGCTGCCAGTGGGATATGACACAGAAATACATAAATGTAGGTGTTGTGGTGGCTGATGAAGGTTAAGGCCAGAGTGCACAGAGAGAGTGTGGAGGAGAGTGAAGGTACTCAGCGAACAGCTGCTGTATGAAGCCAATATAC